CCTTCAATAGTTCAATGCACCACCCCTCAAAGCTTCAGTAATCTACTATCGGTATTCCTAAGAGGCGTTTACCCTTCAATAGTTCAATGCACCACCCCTCAAAGCTTCAGTAATCTACTATCGGTATTCCTAAGAGGCGTTTACCCTTCAATCACCACTGACGAAATCAGTACCGCAATCGAATCAAAATACAAAACCAAGCTCCACGCCGTCTATAGCATCCACGGGTGTACCAATGCAGTTCATCAAAATCGTAACGACATCTAAATACATCGCAGAAACCATCTTCAACAACAGACTACATCTAGATACATCGCAGAAAACATCCTAAACAACACACATCTAAATACATCGCAGAAAACATCCTCAATAACACACGACATCTATATACATCGCAGAAAACATCCTCAACAACAGATGACATTTAAATACATCGCAGAAAACATCCTCAACAACACACGACATCTATATACATCGCAGAAAACTTTAGATGTCGTCTGTTGTTTAGGATTACATCGCAGAAAACATCCTCAACAACAGACGACATCTAGATACATCGCAGAAAATCATCCTCTTCTTCCACCCCGTCGTACAACCAAACAGACGAGACCCACCTACAGCCCTTCATCATTCTTCGCCCACCTACCAGAGACCCAGATGATTCGCCCCCTACCAGACCCTTTCTCAACAGGAGCAACTTCTTAAGTAACATCCGACGAATGATGAAAGATTCCACATTACAGTAAGTATCATACAGTCACGCCTATCACTCTGCCTCCTCTTACTTCTTCTCGTTAACTGGGCTCTGGCAACGGATTGGTGCCTTATCCGTGAAAGTGGGTCTTCCCGTTTCCCCCACATCAAATTTTTGGCATAGGATTTTTAGATCCCCGCCGCCCTTAATGAATTTAAGTCCTACATTGGCCGTTTATTGGAATTGATCAGTGTCTCTGCTTCACACTTCACTGAAACCCATTTTTATTATTTACACAACCACTTAAGACCTTTCTACCTCTTTACAAGTTCTTTTCATTCCTAATCCTCGAGCGAGCGAAGCAGTATTGATTAATCTTCGACCACCCCCGATGTTTAATTATTTTGAATATTTAATTACATCGAAATGTTTCTAATTAAGCACAAAGCTACACAGTGGACTATCTGTGCTCTGCCCATCACGGGTATTGAAACCCGGATTCTAGCGTTGTAAGTCTGCAGACATTCTGCTGTGTCACTGGGGGGCACATCGAAATGACTGCCAAACAGTACAGTACGTTCTTCCGCGGGAGAATTTAGTGATTTCAAAGGGTGAAAGACCTATGACATGTGTAATTAGGACATCAGCAAGTTAGATGCATTATATAACCAGTTTCTCTATTGTAAAAATCTTTATGCACGTCCAAACATATTAAACTGCTTTTTTCCTTGCTTTTCGGGATTTCCGCACCATTATTAGATCTCATAAATGCTTTCGAATTCGGTAGGGTTTTTCTTATTAATTCAATTCCTTACGACAAAATAATATGTATCGGGGTATCGAATGAATTATTTTGAAATTGACTGATGGCTTGTTGAGAAATAAATAAATGGTGTTTTATCGAGAGAAAAATAGTCCAAGTATTATACACCCTCTGCCACTGTATCATTTTCATATAGAGTTACGACAATACTGAGATTATCCTTCTTTCCAAGTGACTTACTTCTTACGACTCAATCGAGACCATAACTTATTATAACTTAGATATTTTCTAGTACGACCTAAACATTATTCAAGCTTAGCCGATTTTGAAGAACTGATTAACAATTTATGAAAACCAAATTCTTAAAAAGCCCATTGACTGTGTAGACTTTTTAAATACGCAATCACTAGTTATTCAAACCCACGTTACCATAACCCTACTATAAGACTGTTTCATACTTCATAGCCAATACTGTTTCCCAGTGATTCTCTAACAACTTAATGGTTCATTAAGCCTAAATTTGTTAAACAATGAAGCGACTTTTACGAACCAAACTTGAAGGACATAATAAAAAAACCCATAAAATATCAAATATTCATATTATAAAACAATACAAAATCATTTAAAACTACCACGAAGAACCGTGAACTTAGACTTCATTGAGTAATAAAAGTTAAATCTTGTCTATAAAAAAATTCTTGTAAAATTTATCATTTGCCTATAAAGACGAGTTTCGGTAATATTCTCAGGTCAAAAAACAACAGCAAAAAAACAACAAATGAAGTGTATGTCAATTTAGAATTTAATCAAAATTAGTAATTTCAAATAGACAAGCAAAATCTCAGTTTTGTTCTCTTGTTGAGTGAGGTGGTCACCATTAACATATCTTGTTCATGACATTTTATTCGTCGAAATTTATTATTACTTTTTTAAGAAATATAATAGTTCTGGTATTCGATGGATAAGTAACGAATTTTTTTTTCTGTATTTTAAAAATAATATTTTACATCTGAATACCACTTAGGAGAACTGGTAAACAAATATGAGAGGTATAAATAATCGCTCCCCAGTGACACAGCGGGATGTCTGCGGACTTATAACGCTAAAACCCGGGTTTCGATACCCGTGGTGAACAGAGCATAGATTGCCTATCGTGTAGCTTTGTGATTAACTATAAACAAACTGTCAATAGTCGATGTGTTTCCTATGTTTTATCAACTAAAGCAAATGTAATTACTATCATCACAAGGCTTTCTTGTTTTAAATAATTATATACAAATCATCAACTAAAATATGAAAACATTTAAAAAACAACGTTCTTATATATCGTAATCATATTTAAGAGTTCTTACATATATCATCTCCACAAAATTACTTTGCGAATTGAAAAAAGAAAAGGTAAATTCACCAATATATTACAATAAATTTCAACACTGTTTCATGGAGTATCTATAATTCACCAAAGCAAATAATATACATAAACATTCAATAATTATAAAAAATGTTAATATTTTTATTTCAAATTAAAATATTAAGAATTAGAATTTTTTACGCGAATAATTATGAACACATCTTTAAAGCAAGATTAATCTCAAGCTCAAGTAGAAGACTGGGAAATTAAGACGCAACACAAAATATGTAAAGTTTTGATTGTCTCCCTGACAAAATTTTTGAACCAAGAAGTAAGTGTAGGTGAATTCCCCAATAAAAGGGATTTTAATACTTAAATCCAAAAATCAGTGACATTAAAGTAAGAAAAATTACAAAAGCGAAATACCTGATGTAATGAATAAGTAATTTGTAGCCAAAATATCTGCTTTAAATAAATTATTATTTCACAAAACATACGCCAGATGTCACAATTATCTATAAATATTATTTCCAGGTGAGAAAAATCGTTAGGCCTATTATTGACTTAATTTTCTTGCTTAATATGATCAGCACTGACTTACCTGTGCTGAAATATTAAAATAGGCGAACTTGCAAAAGTTTTAAACAAAGTGCGCTTTATCGATCATATTATGTTCGAGAAAAAACACCGGAAATAACTAATAAATATATTTTCATAGTTAGCATAATAAAAAAAAATTCAAGCCACTTCTCATGTATGACTGAGATTTGCGTAAATTTCTAAATTTCCAAATGCTTTTCATAAGGTGAAATAGTAGTCTCATTCAAATTTCAAACCATGCTCTCCATTAGTTTCATCATGCTTATTGTAATATTGCTGAAATGGCGAGTACACTTTTAACGATATGTGAAGGAGTAACTAATAATTATTTTTATCTGATTGCTTCTTACTGATATTTGAAGTTATTTTAAAAACACCATTGATACGATTCCAAATCTAAAATCGATTCAAGTCATTAGAAGTAAAAAATATTGTCACATGGACACCACCTGCTCTTATACATCTATTTTTTTATTAATATCATTCACATGATATGATGCTTTTTTTGGCAAAATATCAATTACAAAATTAAAAATAATACAACAAGGCGTCTATACAACATTTACTTTTATCTCCTTGATCTTACACAAGCAGCTTGCATCATTTGCGCACGTGATGCCCTTGAGCTTCTCTGTGATATTGAAATTCGTGTTTGGAGTCTTTTTTAATAAAAATAGCGAAATAATAATCATGCTATTCGTCGCATAATCTAGAAAAATTGTTATTTAAAAAACTTACAGCGTGAAATATATTACATTATTATTGTTAAAGTTTAATTTTTAAAAGATTATAGAAAGGACGTTAAATACACTCACACTCTTCCACGACAGCATTAGGTATCTCCATTTGTACAATAGTGTCATTATGTGTTGCTACGAGCAAGGTTATGGACGAAAGACGCGAAGGAGAACAACATAATCTAAGCTGAGGGGGTTTATTGCTGGGATGGAGCCTTGTTAGATACCTGTGAACAACAGTAGTATGATGATAGTGTGCCAGACTGACGTCCTCTAGGCAAGAGCCTCGACAGTAGTAGGAGTCGTATCCTGCAGGGTAGATTATAAAATCTTGCCATCCTAGTTCGCTGAAAGAAACATGCAGACTGTCTCGACAACACTGAGTGGTAGTTGCTGAACAATTCTGAACATTCCGCTTTCTTCTTCCTAAACGATTTAAAAACTGCACTCGAAAACTTAAAAGAGGCTTAATGTTTTCGTTTAAAGATATTGCAGAGTTTAGGAAATCATCACTACAAGTGATGCACCTTATTTCTAGGTGGAGTTTTCGTCTTTCTTTTATCCACTGCAATCCAATGTGTGTCAGGTCAGCTTTTAGCCAATCATTATTTATTGGAGTTTCTTTAATCGCAATGATGTAAGAAGTCCAGTTATTACCCTGTTTCCTCCATTCCAGAAGCATGAAAGTTTGATTTAACACTACTTCCGAATTTTCCATTTTTACAAGAGCTTGTAGTTCTAGTGATTTGACATGATTCATCAAAACTTCAGGTTTGAGTTGAAAGGTAAAGAGCGCTGTCTTGGCATCTGTGTCTTTAAAATATTTCCGAGTGCCTAAAGAAATATGGAAATATTGTAACTGTGATTATTCATATTTTAGAAACAAACATCATAGCAATGAAGTTTCAGTTTGTTGAATCATTTGAAGCTGTTGATGTTTTAAAATATCACATTAATGTTTGGTACTATATTTTGAACATATTTTTGCCTTCCGACATGTCCAGCCCAGTTGATAATTAGCCTGAGCTCCGACATTCATCAAACAAGACAAAATAAAACAAAATACTATTTTTTAAATGCCATTAATTTAAAATTCTACAAGAACTGATTAAAAAGAAAGTTGATAAAAAAATTGGCAGATTCACGAGCTTTTTAATACTATTTTCACTGCAGTTTTGTCGTTTTAAAACCTAACATTAAAGCTGTAGTGCTTGAATATTAAATTGTGGAATTTAAGCTAATTTATTTATTATGCTTGGAAATCTAAACTTCATTTGTGAATTAAATCTAATAAAAATACATATGTATTTTACCAATAAAGCTTGCTAATTTGACCAACATACCCTTATATATATATATATATATATTCTATAGTTCAAACCAATGAAAAATGAACACACTCAACGTAAATGGTTTAAATAAACAACATATTTTAGAGATGAGGAATTAAATGCTTTGCACTGCAACAAATATAGTAAAAAACCTGAAATAACTATATAAATTCTAAAAACTTATGAGCAAAAGTAAATAACAATATATATATAACAACATGTTAACCAAACACTACCTCCAATATCCAGCGCCGACAAGGCCATCGCTTAATACCAGAGCTCATAAAGCTAGCTGGGATGCGACAGGCGTATCAAGGTATACTTATAACTAAGTTTTCAGGCAAACAAGCCATTGATTTCGATATGAATGATCGGTCGAGAAGTTAACTTTCAAGAGGCGTTTCTATCTTAATAAGCTATTTCTCACGTTTGAGCTATGACGTTTGTCACTTTTTTGTTAGAATTAGCTTATACAACAATATCGGTACAAATTACATGTATATCTACAGTGATTAGCAAAGATAGATTTTTTTAAGAAACTTAACAAAGTAAGATGACCTACAATATATTGAAATCAGTTACATAAAATCCACTGAAAGATTCTGCAGGTTTGTAAATTTTTCACAAAAGAGACAACGGAAGCAAAGAACCCACACTAAGGTGAAAGAGAAAAGACAATTTTACATGGGTTTTAAAGAATACAGTTTTACCTGGTGGTTCTAACACTAGTTAACTTGGTGATTTTGAAAAACACAGTACAAAGATATTTGAACTTGGTCAAATTGAAATATTCATGTGATAGTGAAATTATAGGTAGTACATGAAATTCGTAAATAATGACGTGGTGTGCCCATTGTTTTATCTAGTTGTGATAAGAATATTTTAAATCACACAGTACAACTTTATATGAAATTCAACATGTGACTATTTCTCATCATGTCCTCCCGGTGGGATTGCGGTAAGTTTACGGACTTACAAAGCTAAAATCTAGGGTTTAGTTTTCTGCGATGGTTTGTTTGTTTGTTACGAATTTCGCGCAAAGTTACACGAGGGCTATCTGCGCTAGCCGTCCTTAATTTAGCAGTGTAAGACTAGAGGGAAGGCAGCTAGTCTTCACCACCCACCGCCAACTCTTGGGCTACTCTTTTACCAACAAATAGTGGGATTGACCGTCACATTATAACGCCCCCACGGCTGAAAGGGCGAGCATGTTTGGTGTGATGGGGATTCGAACCCGCGACCCTCAGATTGCGAGTCGAGTGCCTTAACCACCTGGCCATGCCGGGCCTTCTGCGATGGACACAACTGATAGCCCATTGTGACTTTGTTCTAAGAAATAACAAAAACAAACAAACAAATAATTTCTCATTATAATTTCTTAAAAGGTTTCGGAATGTCCCAGAGGTGACGTTTGTAATGGTGTCCATCGGAGTCCAAAATATATTATCAAAAAAATTAGGTTTCTTTAAATACAGTTAACAAAACGAGACATCAACGTTTTTGACTTGCACAATAATTTATTTGTAAAGTTAAAAAATATAAGTTAAATAACTTATTCTACATTCTACATGTTTCGGTGGAAGACACATGAATAAACTTTGTGGTTTATTCTCCTGAAGATGGTAGAATTATTTCCACCGAAACATGTACAGTTTTAAAGTTTTTTAACTTATATTTTTTAAACTTTACAAATAAATTATTGTGCAAGTAAAAACTTTAATGTCTCGTTTTATTAATTGTATCTAATTTTTTTGCACAAGAACTGCCTGTTTTTCGTACTGAGGAGGCTTATTATTGTTGCCTATAAGTTACAGGTAATTAGTTGGTTTCATTTGATTCAATTTTTCTAAAACGAGAGTGAAGTTACATATTCTTGTGTTTCTATGTGCACTTTGTGAATTATCCCGCACGTTTATTAACTAACGCTTAATTTTTATTCTATACAATAAATCTGAATATCATTGTTGAACAAACAGTACAATAAAACAAAAATTATGCATATGGTGTATAAGGCCTATATAGGCTTCCAGTATAGCTGTGGTTAAAATTATTACCAGTCTTAGTGTGATGTAATATCAGACACATTTTAGGAAAAATATTAGTATAAAAGTTATATTTCAGCCAAATAGGTTATTCGTTTAGAAAATAGATAAGTACCTCCAAACATCATATTGATCTTGACTATTTTATTTAGAAAATAGATTAAGTACCTCCAACCATCACATTTATCTTGATAATTTTACTTAGAAAATAGATTAAGTACTTCCAAACATAATATTGATCTTGACTATTTTACTTAGAAAATAGATTAAGTACTTCCAAACATCATATTGATTGTGACTATTTTACTTAGAAAATATATTAAGTACTTCAAACATCACATTGATCTTGACTA